GTGATGTCATGGGGTTCTTCTGCTCCCGGAATCCGTCGAGCGGAAGGAAGGAAGGAGTCGGAAAGTAGGTCACCGATGCTGTACAGGGAGGATGCAACGGCATACGAGCCACCAAAGCTCTGCCATTGCAATCCGCGACGGAAGGCTCCCAGATGGATCTCCTGGAGCCGTCAAAATCCTGGCAGGAGGTACTACGCCTGCCTGGATGCAATGGTGAGGCTTGCTTGTTTGATTTTCTTCTCATTTCTGCCCCTCTGCTCCGCACTTCTCTGAATTTTTATTTTGGACAAATGGGCAGAGTGGTGGATGTGGCTATGTTGAATGGCATGATGATCCACTCCCACAGTTCTTCAGTGAGTTGATTGGTGATTTGTGTGATGAAGTCTGGAGATTGAAGGGTCAAGCAATTGTGCATCAGTTTGAAGATGCAAATGCAGTTACCCCAATGTCTGAAGATCAATCTATTGGTAGAGAAGGCATGATGCTTTTGTCCCTGCAAGCACAACTGAAAGAGAAGAATGCAGAGATAGATGCACTGAAGGGCAAATATATGAATGTGATGTTTGTTTTCATTGTGTTTGTGCTAGGTTTAGTGGTAGGGAAAATGGTACTGAACTGAGTTTGTTTAGTTAGTAGTTCTCTGTGGTCAACTTGTATGTAAACCTATCCTTTTATATAAAATTTGTGATCTGGTAATGCTGCCATTTGTGTTGAATGATGCTATGTTGAAATCTGAAATGTTGTAGACAATGTTGAAATTATCCTGGCATTTGTATATGCAAAAATTGAAGTAATGATCCTGGCGTTTGTATATGTTCTGATCATGAACAAGAAAAGAAAAGAAGCACAATTGGCAAAAGAAGTTTGTATTATCATGAACAAGATAAGCCACTGGGCATTTTGGAGGTCTAGTGAACATTATCCAAAAGAGCACACTTGTTTGCAAAGTTACATCAGTGCAACAATAACAAAAGGATAGGTGCTTGTAGATCAAATTAACAAAGGTCTAGTTCCCGGTACATCATTGCAACACACAACTTAGTAGTTCCCTGAGCAAGTGAAATAAGAGTAGCTTGGCGCTGCAGATGCAGCAGTTCTTTTCCCCCTTTTTGCTCCAGTTCCTCTCCCTCTTGCTGAACTTGATGTAGCTGCTGGAGGATGCACTGAAGATGGCCCAAATTCTGATGTTCCGGCTCTCTTTCTTGGAGGCTTGAAAGATGTTGCAGCCCCAGGTGCTCTCCTTCTTGCTGCAGTTGATCTAACTGGTGGTGCTGGTGGTGCTTGAGGAGTTGATCTAGTTGGTTGTGCTGGTGGTGCTTGACGAGTTGATCTAGCTGGTGGTGCTGGTGGTGCTTGACTAGTTGATCTAGCTGGTCGTGCTTGAGGAGTTGATGCAGTACCAGCAGCAGCAGTACTTTGAGCTCCCTGAGAAGAATATAATTTAATTCTGGGAAATTAGTTTTATAATGGAAATGCAGTTTAATTAAGAATATAATACCTCAAATGTTTTCTTCATTTTCTTTGCTAGATGTGCATTCTTCTTCTTGCCTTTCTCAGGATTCTTCTTGCATCCGGACTTGTTATGTCCTAGATTTCCACATATGGAACACTTCATAATTAATGATGCCATGCTTGCTCATTTTCTTCCCCTTTGGTTTCTCCTGTTCTTCTCTCTTCCTATCATTTTTCCTTTGGCCTTCCTGGCATTTTCATTATCACATAATCAGGTGCTACAGGCCTAGGATTTTGTGACACTGTCCACATCTCCTCACCTTCCACAGGCTACAAGCAGTGCTCATATATTGTGTTGAACACCTCAACAGAATAGCAAGGATCAATAAAATCATCAATTTGCTTCTAGCATTTGTATATTGCACTGATTGCATTGGTGGCAAGGAAGCCTTGCTAGCTGAAAGTACCCACATGAGCATGTTCTTTTGTCAAGATTGAATGTGTATTGCCTTCCCCTCCCATTGATTAGCTTAACCTCAAATCCATCTCCTCCATTCCACAGCACCTCAAGCCGCTGGAGCATTGTAATACTTTTTTAGCTTCTTAAATATGGCAGGGCATATTTTTCCTCTAAACTTATCTCCTTTCAATCTTTGTTCTTGAATTCTCACTAGTATTTTCTGTTGGGGAACGTAGTAATTCAAAAAAATTCCTATGATCATGCAAGATCTATCTAGGATATGCATAGCTACAAGAGGGGAGAGCATCTTCATACCCTTGAAGATCGCAAAGCGGAAGCGTTTATCAACGCGGTTGATGTAGTCATCGGTGTCAAAACCGGCGGATCTCGGGTAGGGGGTCCCGAACTGTGCATCTAAGGCTAATGGTAACAAGAGGCGGGGGATGAGGGAGTCCTGGATTAGGGGGTATCCGGACAGCCGGACTATATACATCGTCCAGACTATTGAAGCATGAACATACAAGACTCAAGACTTTGACCCATGTCCGGATGGGACTCTCCTTTGTGTGGAAGACAAGCTTGGCGATCCGTATATTATATTTCCTTCCTTGTAACTGACTCCATGTAAACTCTAGCCCTCGCCGGTGTTTATATAAACCGGAGAGGATGGTCCTTAGAAGGCCGATCACAATTACAATCATACCATTATAGGTTAGCTCTTAGGGTTTAGCCTCTACGATCTCGTGGTAGATCTACTCTTGTACTACTCATATCTTCAATATTAATCAAGCAGGAAGTAGGGTTTTACCTCCATCGAGAGGGCCCGAACCTGGGTAAACATTGTGTCCCTTGCTTCCTGTTACCATCAGCTTAAGACGCACAGATCTTGACCCCCTACCCGAGATCCGCCGGTTTTGACACCGACATTGGTGCTTTCATTGAGAGTTCCTCTGTGTCGTCGCTTCGACGCTTGATGGCGTCTTCAATCGTCAACAACACGGTCCAGGGTGAGACTTTTCTCCCCGCACAGATCTTTGTGTTCGGCGGCTTCGCCGTGCGAGCCAATTCGCTTGGCCATCTGGAGCAGATCGACAGCTACGCCCCTGGCCACCAGATCAGGTTCGGAAACTTGAACTACACGGTGGATATTCATGGAGACTTGATCTTCGATGGATTCGGCCCTGTGCCAGGAGCGCCGGACAGTCAGGACGATCACGGCCTAGACCTGCTGTCGGACAATGCCCGGAACATCATCCCTGCAACAGCCCCGGATCTTAATCCGGGACAGATTGCGTTACCCAAGGACGGAGGGGTAGACCCCGCCCCGCAGGCCGCATACTCCTCGGCGGTGGAGCCGAACACAGGTCTCACCTCTGTGGAGGCCTGTAACCCCGGGGCCCCGGACTCGTATCCGGTTGTT